TTCATTGATGAGCTTTTTTTCTGAATTAATTTCTGAATTTAGATTTTCATTGTGGGACATAAACTATCCTGAAAACCCCCCATAAAATAGGAAATGATATCATAGAGAGGACACATGCAGACCCTCATGACCGTGGGTCAAATTCAACAAATCTCTTAAAATATCAGATAATTTGACCTTTTTATGTTGTGTGTTCTTAAAAATACACATAAAATTTGAAAATATGTACTTTGGAAAATATATTTTAAAAATAAGTCATTTTTCGTCATGATATCAAGACAGTTTATGGTCCACAATAAATATTAATATTAAATAATATATATATAAAAAAATAATAATATAAAACAACATGCTTGTCAATGAAGTCATTGTATGTATGAATTTTTTTTTTTGACAAAGTAAGATGTGTGCTCTAACGTGCTTCATAATATGAATACAAAGACTACATTTCAAAGAACTTGGATTCTTTTTCTTCTTTATCATGGACACTAATATATCTGTGACCCATAAACATTTAAGTGTTGTAAAGAACTTTTGATCATGGCTTAGGGTGCATTTTGAACGTCATGAAAAGAGGGCAAGTCTGCTTTTGTTTGCCTCAACAGCTGTGAGACGCAATGTAGAGGGCCATGCCTCATTAAAATAGGGTAGGAATTGGGGGTAGGGATGACATGGTGGTTGGGTCTATTTCCTGTGAGAACACCCTTCTCCCTCAAGTTACTCTAGTATCCACCCATGCTAAAAGTATGCTATTTGATTTTTGATGGTTACCCTTAACACGCAATAGACAACACCTGTTGTGAGCTTGGTTAAGCTTAGAGCTGCTGTAGCCAGATAGCTAATCCAAGAGGGCCTTTTCTGCATCAAGCCCTAGATGGTGGAATTAACTTGTGATGCGAGGCATAGGCTAATGAACACAATGCATAGATTTAATCCCATTAGCCGGTGGTCGGATTGACCTCTGACGTGCAGTCACCACGTTATAATCTCTATCCCTCCCTTTCTCCTTTTTCTGCCGGCCTTAGACAATTGATTCTCTTTTGTCTCTGTTCCTTGACCTGTAAACAGGCAGCATGAGCTTGCAAACAGGCATATTGCATGCTGGGGAATATTGACTAATCTAGACATATGGCATTGAGGCTCTGGACCTTTGACACAAAAGCTAGCTATTGTTTTTGTAGGTAGTATTGATTATGTTCATATTTAACAGCCTCTGTCAGGAGGAAATGCTTCGATGAGCACATTAATTACTTGACAGACTGTGATCTGAATATTGATCAAAACAAAGCCTCAGATGCGCTAACAAGGCCTGAAGCAATTAATGCTTAACAGAAACACTGCCATGGATTATTGAACAAAGTAAACAGAATGATTTAAGAGTGCCAGCTCAAGCTACCATTCTAGACAACAGAACACCTTCATCTTCTGTGAACTGAGCTGCTTCTCCGATATAGACTTTGTGGTGTCAGTTACAATGTTGAGAGAGTTTCAGGCCTTAAATTCATCAAGGCAGTGGTTCTCAAAGTGAAAAGTATAAAGAGGAAGGCACAAGTTCTTAAATTATATTCACTTTTGCACATTTAAATCTGCCATGTAGGCAATTTCATATTCCCTTTCTTCTTCTAATGGTGTTGACTGGCCAGTTTTGAATGGCAGAGAGAAAGATTATCAGTGAATAACAAGTTTTCCTCACAACATAGAAGACCTGGAATATAGGGCACAGATAGTTTATTATATTTTTACTCTTTTTGGAGCTTGACAATTACAATCACATCTTTTCATCTATCATTCTTGTGCACCACAGATAAAACAAATGCTAAAAATAATATGGAACGAAGGGAGTAAATTATGTTTTTTTTTTTTGGGTGGACTTTCCCTTTAATATGCTCTTGTGATAAATTACATGAGTGTTACTTTTTCCTACATTAGATGGGGCAAAGGTTGTTCTAGTTTCAAAAAGGGCATTACCAAAAAATGTAAAGCCACCGCATCAAAACAAACATGAAAAGTGATAAACTGCTGCCCTCTTCTGGACAAAACCAAGGGCAGTGAACACTATGGAGAACAAGGTAAACAATGAGTAGCATGCAAATGTGAACATTTCCACTGCCATCTTCAAAAACACTAGCTTGCTTTTGGGTCAAAGTTCTAGAGCTTCATGCCACACGTCCAGTGTAGTCAATGATCCCTTTGCATTATGCCTATTTGCTACTTATACTGCCTGTTTACAGGTCAAGAAACAGACAAAAGAGAATCAATCATCCAAGTTCACTAGGTATTATAGATATTATTAAGAAGCACAATGATTTAGATTCAGTTAAGAACATTTAACACACTGAAAGTCTAAAGCAGTAAGACTCACCACCCAGAATAGTGTTTTATTAGCCAGTGATTGATACTCATCAATGGTGGACAGCACACTGAGGATCAGGCAAGAAAGCACAATGAGGAATCTGCAGAAAGGAAGACATGTCATTTTAACAACAACAACAATAAAAGATTTCAGAATGTTCAGAGGACATTCAAAAAATATATTTTCTGATATTCATAGACTAAATTATCCTATTCTAAGAAATCAGATTTTTTGAGAGAGAGAAAAACAAAACAATATTGCATGTTTTGTAATGGTGCAGATTGACTTCTTAAGCCCTGTAACAGCACTGTAAGTTAAAACACATCACGGCTAGGTCATCATGTGTACTCTCAGTCTAAACCAACAAAGGCTTTGTTGTAACTCCTGAGACAAAAGAAAAAAGTTCTTCTTTTGGAGAGAAAAGAGAGTTTGTTCACAGACGACTATGCAATTAATCTGACAGAACAAATTCTACAAACAACTTCATTTCTCATGTGCTTTAATACATTTGTTTTAACAAACTTTACCAATTAAAAATTACCAGCTAATTTGTTTTACCAAAGCAATCAAATTGTCCAACGGCATATGAAGGAGAGCACAAAACAGCTTTTTGCTATCTAAAGAAATGAAAGCCATCTATTGATTTAATTAGTTTTTCTGAATTGCTAAAACATATTTCTTGAAACCATCACTCATTTTCTCAAAACCTTAAACGCAAATGCAAATACTCCTCTGACCTCTGACTCTTCCATCAAAATCAAATCTAAGCCTTACTCTTTCTCTCCTCATCCTCCACTTCTTACATGTAGGCTACTCTTCCTCCTCTCCTTCTCAGATTGTTTCCATCTATTGTCCGTATCATCATTCAGTCACCTGTGCCACTTGTGCACTCTGACCTGGCTCATATTTTGTACAGTTGGTGTGATTACATCATTAGAAACAAGTGTGAGCAATTTTGAATCGTTGTGTGTAAACGATGACAACTGTGCTTTAGTTGTGTTTAACTTTTGCCGCTTGTGTTTAGCATTTTGCAGCACAAATGCATCACAGTGTGATAAGTCTTTAAGTGAAAGAGAATGTGTTTAGAGTTTTGCAAAAAGAGTGCATGAGATTTGCAAATAGAGCCTATAACTGCCTCAACGTGTTTAAGGTTTAAAAAAAAGAGTGCTTTATTCGGCAAATTGGTTTAAGCTAGTGAGAATTTGGTTCAGAGATTGGGGTTTAGTGTTTTAGCAATTCAGAAAAACTGTAAGATTAAATCTGATCTTGTAAATAAAAATTTATATTAATCTAATCTGAACTGCACATTGTTAATAAGCAGCAATAGCACAACATTGAGTACATTTCTGGTTAATTTGTAAATGCTATTTCTCAGTGTTTGTTTTTGGCAGTGATGCTTAACCCATTACAACAGCTCAATAATTCATCAGTGTGATTGCATTAACAATAAAAATGAAACACCAAGAGGTATGAAACCCAGCTGCCACAGTCAAACAGTGCCCAGCTGTTGCCTGTCATCACAAATGCAGAGGGAGTGGCCAGAAATGTAAGTAAACATACAAACATAACCTCGGGGTATGATGTCTGCCTGACAAATATCTATCTTATTACGTAATCATTATTGCTGGATGTCCTTGAACCTGCCGCAAGCAGTCTGTGAGAGAAGTTACATGTCAATAAACATGCCAGAGGCGACCGTGCAATGCAGCGAATAATTGATCTACCAATCCATGGCGGTTTGGTTAAGGATAATAAACACAGCAAACAATTGTGTTGCTTAAAGCAATAAGAGGTAAAAACAACAGAAAATAATCAGAGCAATGAGAAATAGTATTTTGAGTAGTGGAGCTAAACAGAATCAAATATGCATCAGGTTATTTTAACTATTCATACCTGCAGAAACCACTGAAATGTATAGTATTTAACTGACTGAAAAAGAAAGGCTTAAGCAGAAACAATGCAACAGACAAAATCAATCTATGTGTGTGCAAACAGTGCTAAACACTGCCGCTCTCAAATCAGGCTGACCAACCACAGTCACCGCTGATTCAAATGCTGAAATAAATACCTAAACTGGGTGCATCCACTGTTGTTAATGACAGGCGGAGACAATACAATAGCTGTAGTAGTGGTCTGCAAACTAGTATTTATCAAATCTATCAAATTCAGAATGCCTTTTAAATTCCAATTCAATTCCAATTGAATTTAAATTGAGGTAGAAGTTCAATTCTTGAATTAAGAAATTAATGAAACCATTTTTAACCAGAAAAGTCAAATTTGTCAATACGAATTTTAAAGTTCACCTTGTTTGAAAGTTCTGAAATAGTTTTAAAGGGGCCATGAACTGAGAAACCAAATTTCCCTTGATCTTTTGACATATAACAGGTCAATATACTATAAAAACAACCTGTAAGTTTCAGAACTCATAACCTTCTTGTTAGTTTAAAAACAGCTTTTATTGAAACCAAGCTTTATAATGTGCCACTTTATGATGTAATAGTGTGGCTAAGCTCCTCCTCCGCAGGAGAAGATCAACGCCTGCTTCTACAGCACTGCCTCTTTAGCCCCGCCCACTGAAACACGCTTCTAGTAGAGATGAAATACTAGAGAGATGCAAACACAAGATTACTCCATCAACAGAACCATACAGATTACAAGACACTGTGTAGTGCAAGTTGCGAAAAATAGTCTTTGAATGGCATTCTTTGTGATCTTAACATATCTACAACGCGAGCACTGTTGCGTCATGTCGCGAATCAGTTTCTCTTTCAGGTCAGAAGCAGCGCGAATGCTTGTATGTCAGAAATAGAGCAAGACATCAGTTTACTGTCAGGGATTTGTTGTGTCTATCCGTGCCGCATTCAGTGTAGACAGTATCGCAGATTATAATGGGTTCTGTTGTCTAGTCGTGTTGCGCTGCTCGCACAGTGCTGAGTCTGACTAGAGGGGATCCAACAGTAATGTCGCAGCACATAAGTGTGAGTAAATGTGCTTTTACCACTATTGCATTGTCCGTTTCATATAAACTGAGTATTTATAAGTTTTTAACTCAAATGACCCATGTTGTTTTCAGAGTAACTTATGTCACAGCAGCGTCCATCTGCTATTTTAATAAGCGAAACTGTTAGTTTACTTGCGAGTCTTGAATGCGCCCCGCCCATACAAATAGACCATTCTGCAGAGAGGCTCAAAAACAGGATAGAAAATAGCCTATTACTTCTAAATTATGATGTTTTATATGTAAAATCACACTAACATTATAAGTGAACCTCAGACAACATTATAAAATAATAAAAAATGCAGTTCATGACCCCTTTAAATACCTTGAGGTTCGACAGTTTGAAATATCTAGATTCACAGACAGACAGACAGACAGTCAAGCAAGCAGATGATAGATAGACAGATAGAGAGACAGACAGACAAATGCTGTGTGACCAGTGTGACCAGGTGGATGCTGCACACTGGTGGTGGATGAGGAGAGATCCCCTGACAATGTAAAGCGCTTTGAGTGCCTAGAAAAGTGCTATATAAATGTAATGAATTATTATTATAGTAACACAAACAGAAAGACAGTTACACAAATAGACAGACAGAAAAATAATTACACATACAGACGGGGAGAGAGAGAGAGACAGACAGATAGATGACAGCGAGGGACTAGGGGTGTGACGAGATCCGATGTGTCTCGGCGAGAACGTGACGATATCCTCACGCAGACCTTTCAGATATATTTGCATTACACTGGGTTCACCAGTGGTGGTATGTAAGATATTTTATGTTACATCAGGCAAGTGGCCGCATGATAAGCGGGAAAATTACGCAGTGTAGTCTTTATCCAGTCATAAAAACAGAATTCACAGTTTAACGCGGAATGTCACGGAATTTGTCAAATTTTGAATTAATTAATCAAAAGTAGGTCATTACACTTAAATCAAATCTAATATCTGTAAATATTAAGCCGCAAAAGTCGATTTAAATATGAATCCTGCATGTTCTGCCTGTCTCTGTTAATGAATGGCGCAGACGCGCGGTTTCATTTACTACACACACACTGAAGCGCGCGTGACACTCGCGGTGATTTCAGCGTCTGTCTTCTCGACGTAAATACATGAACAACATCTCCAGAACTGCTCTGAGAGTCACTTCATGAGCATTTTAGCGTTTGATTTGAGTAAAACTAGCATCATATCACATACACAGAACTGTAAAGGTATTCATGGCAACCCGACAAAATAAAAGTCCGGTTTGATTTGAAGACATTGTGCCTATAACTATTTTTCAGTAGAATGTACATAGCCTACTACTACCACTACTACTACTACTACTACTACTTAAATGAAACAATCATTATTTTCTTAAGGAATAATCACACAAAACATTACTTCCATGTTTTACTTTTAATAGTAAATCCCCTTTGTTTGCCAAAAAATCTTGTTTGCTTAATTTTCAATAATTAAAAGATAAAT